CAAGCCCAGCGAAGATTCAGGCCGCACTCAAAGATCAACACCAAATAACAGTCAGTTTATCGACGGTAAGATTATGGATCAAGGAAATTAGGAAAAGGTATGTTCGGATATTGCTCAAGTTATTAACAAATATCCCGAAACAGTTCGTTACACAAGTACGCGTTTTAGCGAAGGGATTCCAATGCCAAGAAAGCTACAGTCCGACGAAAAGGTAAAGGCGATGAGTATTATATTGGATCACATAAAAAAGGACCCAAAAGCAAAACTATCTGATATTCACGCCGCACTCGAAGATCAACACCAAATAACAGTTAGTTTATCGGCGGTAACATCGTGGACTAAAAAAATTAGGAAAAGGTATGTTCGGAAATTAATATCAAATAAACCTTCTCCTATACTAACATTGTATTAAAACATACAATATTTTCGCTACTAATAATTAATAATGCAAATTATGTGTATACATATAACAAAATTTTACTCACACAGTATTTATGTGAGAAAGTATGCGCACGGGAGACTGATTGTCTTATATTTATTAGCATAAACGGGTCTAAATCAACTTCGTAACTGTATTTTAAGTTATATTATAAAAATGTAATTATTCATTAAATGCATGATCGTTATTTAAAGTTAATGTAACCAATAATAGAGCATTCCTTTCGTTGTTCTTGAAAACTTGGAGACTTTTATGTAATGTGAACATGACAAATTATCAAATCTAATATGATTACATAGTAGTTTTATTAAAAACATATATTGTACTTTTTATCTGCTATTTACTATTAAAACCTTAGTTTTGGCTTATTCTACATACCTGCTTTATGTTACAGTTTTAGTCATATTTGTATCATTAGGATATGATTTTCATCATTTATATAGATGTACTAATATGTATTTACCGTTTAATATTTGTTTCCGCTGTTCAGATATATCTCTGTGTATACTGGGCGCGTCTCCTTTTTATACTTTCGGAGTCTTAAGAACAAATTTTACATATTTATAACTAAAACTAGATTCAAATTTTACACTTGTGCTTTCATTTTTGGTCATCAGGCACGGTTTAACCACACATATACAAACGTGCAATCCTTAGCTTTCTATATTTTCCATAACGTTTTTATCGAAAATTTTTATCTTAGTAAATTATGGTAAAAATTACGAGTAAATGTTCTGTAATTCATTTCGCTTATTACATTTTATTTCTGTCAATAGTACAGTTACAGAAGATTAATTTTATACGTATAAACTATAATTATAAATATTACATTTAAACGAGGATAGTATTTACTGGTCGATAGAGTCATAAAAATGACAGATTTGACCAATATCTGGGTAATACGCTTGCTTTTATTGTTTAAAATATTAATTAGTTTCATGTCTAACATTCTTATATCGTGCTGTATATGTATATGCGCAGGTTGGAAGATAATACGTCATACAAGGTTTGCAAATTTTGCAACTTATCTCATACTATAGACCAAGATACAGTTGAATTCAAGGACAACGTTGTCAAGGACGAATTTGCGAGCTCCTGTCATTTACGGGAATCTCAACACGCATTTACCGCAGTTTCGACATCAACGGAAAGCTCCCATGTCACTGAGCCGTTAGCACAGGATATTCACATTGAGAGACGCGAAATAAAGTCTGAAGTTAAGACTGAAATTAAAACTGAAGAGTAATTATACTTATATAGTGCTAAAATTATACAAAGAAACCTTACATATTAAACATTGATTCTAACACCTTAGTCTGTCAAAGTAATTTATATAATTCGGGATACGTTAACAATAGGTATGTCGTTAGTATTGAACATTTATGGTCAAAATTTCCTTCCAATTTATTATTTACCAACTTAACCCATCCCATGTCTATGGTGTACGGGTGCATCTCGCGAGAGATCCACGAGAATCTATCTATTTCCATGCGATACGGGACCCAACTTACACTCCATCCCTAATACAATATTTGTTTCCTACAAAGACTTTAAGCATCTTATTAATATCTTGCATACATATGTTTTTCAGCTTGTTTTGTTGATTGCCACAAAAAATCGCGATTCTTACTAGGGTGTTAATTCTGCACATTTACCTTATACTCTGATATTTTCCACATTTTTAAATCGTTGTTTATATTTACAGATTTATATATACAGATTCTGATTAATTTGGTATCCATGGTTTTGACGACACCTAACGTGTAAAGTGTCCAAGGTGTGGGGTGATTCTCGCGAGAGATCCACGAGGACCTATGTATTTCCATACGATACGGGGCTCAACTGACACTCCATCCCTAGTACAATATTTGTTTTGAATAGAATAAAACTTTAAGCACACAACATTTAAGTGAGAACGTATGCGCACGGAAGATTGTCGATGCGCACACGATATAAATGTAAAACTTTTCTATAGAGCTAGTGAATTTAATGTCTTATGAGATCGAAAAGTTTGGTACTGTTAATCGATTTTCGAAATATATTACTTAGAAATTAAGTTACAAATATGAAGCAGAATGCATCTTTGTGATTAAATAGCAAGATGTATTTATTATTTCAATATTATTATTCATAATTTCTACCCTTTACAAGGCATTATCTCGTCCGTATAGCAAATGTTACGTAACGTTTACAGTATTTTAAAATTAGTTTATCGTTAAGCAATACAACAAGTGTAGGATGGAAACTTTTCTTTTTCGCTTTCAATCGTTCTACCTGTCCACGAGAGGTAGTTCGGTTATTATATATGTATGTTGTTTAATAATATACACACTATCATATTTTTATTATTACTATTATTATAAACCTATATGTATTGTATTCACTATAATGGCAGTCACAAAATAAAAAGTAACTTGCTGTTAAATAATGCTAAGCATTCCAGCAACATTGCTGCAAATCCTGTACAACCACAGGAAGCAGAGACTGATCTAGAAACTGAACAACACCTAGACACACTTAAACAAAAGCAACAAGTAGGTATAAAAGGTTACTTTGGAAAAGAGCGAATGTTCTCAAAGAGAGAACATACGCGATTTGATAAGTAATTATTCACTTTTCTTATATTCATTAGCATAAACGGCTCTGAATAAAGTTTCTAATTATATTTTAAGTTATATTGCAAAAATGTGATTAATCATTTAATGCATGATCGTTATTTAAAGTTAAAGTAACCAATAATAGAGCATTTCTTTTCTCGTTTGTGAAAACTGGCGAACATTTTAGGGAATGTGAAGAAACAAATGATAAAATTAAATATGCTTATATATTGGTTTTATTAAAAAAGTACATTGTACTTTCTTTATTTATTATTTGTTATTAAAAACTTAGTTCTGTCTCATTCTCCATACCTGCTTTATTTTACATATTTAAAATTTTTTATAATAGGTATTTATTATAATAATTATATAGAATACTGAAAAAGCCTTCCTTTTATATATAAACTCACAAAATTTTATACGTATGGTTTTGTCTCTAACACTTATTCAAATTCTCGTTCAAATCATTTGAATAAATAAAATAAAAACACAGAACAGATGCTTCATTTTGCATAAGTAGCAAATAACGTAAAAATGTAAGTCACTTACCTCACGATTTCTCCGCCGTTGCCCGATGCCTCTTAGACCTCCTCCTTCTCTTCTAAGATCTTCTTGTTGAACTTATACAACACTCACTCGCGAAAATCATCGATCGCGACGGCTAAAACCTTCTGAAGGTCGCTCAGGAGCGTGACCTTGACAACATATGTCAAGGTCGGGGTCATTTGCGGGGGTTGACCTAATCTAAATATTTACCGTGTTATAATATATTATAAATAATGTGCTAAATACATTTTATAAATTTATTTTATACTGTTACCTAATAAGACAAAAGTAATAAAATTTTATTTTACTTTGTTATCGATATTGCTAAACAACTAAATAGCTTTTCCTCCTGATCTCACTTGGATGCCTCGAAGACTCACGTTTACGAAGAACTTTATTTTATTCTAATCGATATGCTCTGTCCGGTGGGAACATGAGAAAACGAGCCGTCCGTCATTGGGAATACGTTATAGTTAACGTCATAGAATCAAACACCACCTGTTTCCACAAATTCTATGTATCAGATGTTGATTGACATGACACGTAGCAATGTATTTCACGAGAATTTACTCAGTATAGTAATTTTATCGCGAAGGGATATTATTTTAATTGATATGTCACATTGGAGGGTGAGCGATCCGTCGTACGGAAGTTCAGAAACAGTCGTATTCACGATACCAAAGGCACGGTACTGTTTCTCTGAGAATTATCGAGACCATGAAGCATTATTACAATGTCGTCTATAAAATATCATCGTTTACTGGTGCATGGCCGTATCTGAAACCGAGAGCAAGGATATTTCGCGTTGCTCTACTGACTATAATCATGCTGACTGTAATTGTTCCGCAGGTAAATTAATGTAATGCCTGAAGAAGAGGATCTGACGGAAGAATGATAAATGGTTTCAGATAGCGTATCAGCTTACGTGCACAAACGTGCGATGTACATGCGAGTCGATGACTTCGTACCTACTGACAATGACGTCTTTTCTAAAGGTGTACACGTTTCAATTAAATACTCGTACGGTACATTTCGTGATTTAAAAGATTGTAGTTTGGGAAAAAGTTTTAATATATTTTCTTTATTTATAATATGCAGGGTTGGGAAGTAACTTGTTACTTGTAACGAAGTTACTGTTACAGTTACTTATTTTCGATAACTCTTATTTAACTTCGTTACTTTTGCCCCGTCTGTAACTGTAACTTAACTCAGTTACATTAATAGTTTCCTTAGAGCTAAAGTAGAACTCTCATTAAAACTAAACAAGAAACAAGAATGGCCAATGCGAGTCAAGGCAGGATGTAGATAGCCTATACTTGTAATTTTTAATAAATTGTGAATTCATATACCGTTTCTTTTTCCACATTTTTGTCCTGCGTGCCGGTTTCTTTTCGGATATATCGCAGTCTTGGCTCGCATTGGCCATTCTTGTTTCGTGTTTAATTAATAGTTACGTTATGTATATTTTAAATCTCAACAGGTTGCATCAAGCCTTGCATTTGCGCACAAACGTCTTCATCAACGCTTTACAATTCAAATGCAGATTTGATATTTTTATTTTCATTGCAAGAAAGTAACTGCAAAGTAATGATTCGTTACTTTTTGAGTAACTGTAACTGTAACGCGTTACTTTTCAGAATTGGCAACTTGTAACTTACACTTTTAGCGAGAAAACTGTAAACTAGATATTTTTATAAAGTAACTTTCCCAACCCTGATAATATGTATTTTTAATATTACAATTCTATAAACGCTGGTATTTTATAAAAGAACTTGGTACTGATCGATGCTTTATCAGATTAAATGCCTTACCCAACACTTGTTCGTCGATTGGAAGGGAGTAGAAATTCCCAAAGAATACGAAATTATGAAGTCATACGCAGAAAACAGTAGGCGATTCTGTCTGGTCTATACGGGTGAGAACCGATGAGAGGGATGCTCTATTTTATTTCATTCCCAAATGCGTTGCGCGTTTCTTTTCTCATGATCGCTTCATATGTTGCAGTATATTGTTTGCTAGCAGTAATTACGTTTATGTCAATGTCCCTTATACCGTTCACACTTGACGTCGTATGGCCCCTTAATGAATCACGTCCTGTATTATTCCCGTATCCGGGATATTATTTCGTGGACACTCGAGAATATTTCTTTAAAATCTTCTGGCACTCCGTCGTCGCTTGGGAATTCATTGTTGCCGGAATAGTCGCCCACGATTGTATGTTTGTGACTTACGTCGAGCATATTTGCGGCATGTTCGCTATGGTCGGGTAAGGAAACAATTTGTGAGCTCGATGACACAATACATAGTTTTCTCATCAAACTTTGTAATTTATATACATATAAAGTTCTTAAAAAAGAATTGAGATATTTGTCTCTAAATGAAGTAAAGAGTACACTGAAATTTCCAACTTTTGCGCCAATTTAATACTAAAATACTTTAATAATTCAACCCGAATGTCAGCAAAGTCGAGACGAAGAGAGAAAGAAAGGGAAAGGAGGGGGGGGGGGGAGAGACAGAGATTTTACAAATTGTTTTCAGATTCCATTTCGAAAATCTATTTTATAATTGTGACGGAGTAATGAAGGTGAGGGACAATTTAAATACTATTTATCGTAAAAGAATTACGTTCTTGGTACACGAACACCGGGAGGCTTTAAAGTGAGTGTTTAACATTATATATAAAAGTAGAATAAAACAACCTGAGTGATACGACACATATTCCATTAGAAGATAAGAAGTCTCAAGAAAAGGTCCCTTATCTTATTTTCAATTTGCCATAGTTGTGCAGAACTTCTCGAGAATACCTTTACTGTACCTTTCGCCGTACAAATGTTCGTAGTGACTATAGGAATGAGTTTTACCCTGGTGCAAGTATGTATTTATTTATGATAAAATTATTTTCCTTAAACGAGTTATTAAAAGATTGTGTTATTTTTTTTATATCGAAGGCCACGCAACCGAACGGCGAGATTTTAGAATCAATCAGATACGTGTTGTATATCGTTGGTCAACTGATCCATTTATTCTTTCTCAGCTACGAAGGACAGAAATTGATAGATCACAGTCTTCAGACGAGCAATAAGATGTAAGATTTGAGTTACCCAAAGGAAAGAAAAGATCCCGAATTGCATTTAATTTGTTGCATTATAATTAACTATCTTCGAAACATGTTAGATACAGTAGTTCCTGGTACGAGGTATCTATAAGATCGCAGAAGCTAATCGTGCTGGTGATGATGAGAAGTTTACGACCGAGCTCCTTGAGCGCCGGCAAGATTTACGTTTTCTCCTTGGAGAGCTTCACCTCGGTAACGCACTCGGAATTATCGTATATGCATTTGTTATAGAGCTTCTTTAACAAAACACGACGCTCTTTTGAAAATTCTGCAAGCTTCGATGTCGTACTTTACGGTACTCGCATCCTTTTAGTAGCCTGAGCTTGTGCATCCGACCATATTCCGTAAAAGCGCTTGTCGAGAGCGCAATACTGTGTGTCTTTAATATTACTACAATTATATATTTCTGTTAATTATTCCATTGTCTTTTATTTCCTCGTTAAAATTATTTCTGTCAATTTTATGTACATCTTAAACTTATATGGATATAACTTATATGTATGGATATGCGTGAAAAAATTCGTTTATGTATTTTTTTATGTTACTCTTTTCGGCGCCGTAAATCGATGCCACCAATTCTGGAATCAGTTGTAATTCACACATGTAGCTTACAACGATTTCAAATATTAATTGCGGATTATAGTGTCGCGAAGCTCTAATTTATACAAAAAAAGGAAAAAGAAGAGCGTATTGCCAAGCTAAATATTTCTGCAAGATGAAGTGTAACTGTTGCGCGATGCACCTTGTCTTGGGAATCCTTTTCTTCAACATTCTAATCGATATGTACGTGGAAGGAAATTGTCTTTTCCGTTGAAGCTTCCTTTCGCGTCCGTCTTTTGTAAAACACACGTCACGCAAGATTGCTATATCAATGGTCCCTGATGTATGTAGCATTTTTTTCTATTACGTCCATATTCCTTTATTAAACAATAAAGGAATATGGACGTAATAGAAAAAAATGCTACATACATCAGGGACCATTGATATAGCAATATTCCATATTCCTTTATTGTTTAATAAAGGAATATGGGCCAAGACAGAACGTTTTAGTGCCTAAAGAATTTTAATTTGAAGCCACAATAATTTAATACATTTTACTTGGTTCGTTTAGCCAATCAAAAATGCCCAGAAATGTTGGAATCAAATATCTATAGCTGCTGACAGTATTTCTACACATAGTATCGTTACGAGTAGGTTAAAAGTTTCTGTGCGTCATAGCAGATTAATACAAAAGCACGTTAAAAACGTACTGTAAGTATTTTTATAAGGACAATACGATAAAAATCTACTTTTATACATATACACATATATAGATATATTATCTATTCCATATAAAAAATAAAGTTTCTGCAATTTTCTTTTCTTGTACATTGTATATATGGTCTTTTTTAACCACCATGTCAAGCTATTTCATTAAAAATTGTAAGTGTGAGAAAAATGACTCTCTCTCTCTCTCTCCTTTTCTCTTTCCGAATTAAATTAAAATTATGATATTATAGATATTTGCAAATCTTAAATATTACATAAACATTATATATTATTACATCATTATTATTATATATTAAATAAGTATTTTATTACTATTTAGTTTATTACATATAATTACATATATTACATATAATTTTATTACACATAATTCATCGATTAGGTTTAGTATTATTATATTATTCTACTACAGATTTTAAGTTAAATATATATTGTACAATTGTTTGAACATTTGAATCGTAATTGCATTCCTAGGTATTCTCAGCAAGAAATGACTCGTAATCGACGTCAATTGACGGTTGTCGATATCGATTCTACATTGTTTCGACATTGATCGAAGAATTATTTCTCACTAGGTTTCTTATTGGCTCACTACACGTTACATTACTATCACGTGACATCAATATGCGCAATAACGACGCTTTTATATTGGCTGTTTTCAGCAGGAAAAGCTGCTTTGCCACTGTTGTACAATTCGAGAATCTGATTGACGTATGTTCTTAAATTCAGCTAATTGTAAGATTAAGAAAATATGTCAATCAGATTCGCGATTACAACAGTTGCAAAGCAGCTTTTGCTGCTGAATGCAACCATTTACAGAATAATTATGAAATCTTATAATCACATCTTTAAACGTTATTACATCACTGTACCTCTTTTAGATCCATTGTTATTTCAAATATTTTTCGTATTAATCGACATTTACGTGAGTAACAGTTTAAACCTTGTGTCGGACCTGATGTTCTACTAAATACGTTTGTTATTTTCTTACATCCCTTGCATGTCGTCTTGCCGATCACATTGTACTTGTTCTGTAGGTGCGATATTCTTCATATCTTCTTTTTTGCTTCTTATAAAAGGATAAACCCCATAAAGTGACATTAAATCAATTCTTTTACGGTAATTGCATATTGTCATTATACATTTACATTTTTCTTGGATATTATTTCATTATTATATTTATTATGTATTATCAATATTTGATATGCGTCTGTTATACTTACCGACAATACTGTAAGTGTGCAGTTAAACGTGACGTTGCAGATGGACCTAATTTTACTGCTTTTTTACATTGTTTGCATATTGCTATTTCCATGTTTCCCTCTTCATCATCGAACTTTTCCCATACTTGTGATCTTCTTCGTCTCTTTCTCAACTCATCTTCATCAAGATTTATGCGACTTATGAAAGAATAAACGAGATAAGATGTAAAATTAATTAGTTTTATGTTTTATCAATATTTGATATGCATCTGTTATACTTACCGACAATGCCGTAAGTGTCCAGCTAAACGTGACGATGCAGATAGACCTAATTTTACTTCTCTTTTACAGTGTTTGCATATTACTATTTCCATATTTCCTTCTACATCATCGAAGTTCTCCCATACTTGTGATCTTCTTCGTTTCTTTTTCAACTCAGCTTTACTTATGTGACCAAGATTTAAGCGACTTATGAAAGAATAAACGAGATAAGATTAATTAATTTTGTTGGCAATAACTACATATTATTATTATATATTAACACTTTACGTGTATAGGGAAGACTTTATGGACGTTGGCATAAAGGACAAGTTGGCATTGCGTTTCGTTTATGTATTGGCGGCAAAAAGAATTATTGGAAAAAATTATTTACTCCAAAATAATTTTTTCATAATGTAGATACTTTTCCCAAAGTTTCATTTACTATCAAAGAGGTATCATAATAAAAACAGGAAAAATCTTATTCAAGCGGAGTCAAGTAAATTTTGGAGTGTTTCCAAATTTCGTATTAATGTACTTTAGCTTGAAAAAATAAATCTAACTATGAGTATCGCATTATTAGTTCAAAAATATGTTTTTATTACTGTTAGCATGTGTTATTTTGAATAATAACTGAATAAAAATTGAATAAAAATAATTTTTACGTTGGATCAAGTTTTAGGTACGTTGTCTTACAATCTGATTAGATCCAATTAGTATGAGAGAGGGGGGGAAGGAGGGAGAGAGGGAGAGAGAGAGAGATATGTATGTATTAATATCGCGCGCATGAAGTGTGTAAACACACAATTTCTGCAATATCTATACAATACAAGCATACGGTGCACCACCCTTCATTGACAGTGTTCTTTTACATACTTTGCATGTCGCATAGTTATATCGTACACTTTTATATTCAATATTTCAAATATTATTAGTCTGTGTACTTACCGGCAATAAAGAAAGTGGTTCTTTAAACTATCCGTTTTACCATTTATTTTTAATATTTTCTTACATTCTTTGCACGCCGCCTTGTTGTCCATTACATCGTACTTGTCCCATATACGTGATCTCCTTCGTATTTTCTTCAGCTCATCTTTACTTGCCTGATCAAGATTTAAGTAGCTTATGAAAAAATAAATGTAATATATAATTATTTTTGTACTATAACTGCATATTTCCTACATATGCATATATTCACCTTTTCTTTAACGTATTTCATTCTATTTATTTTATACTTTCTTAAATATTGTTTCCTTAAATATTACTCCCTTAATTATTACTATTAGATTTTTATTTTATTTTTATCCATGTTTTAAATATTTTTGAGATATATACATACTAGCAGTGATATAAGTGGTATCTTAAATTCGGTAGAGGATTTTTAAGATTACGTATGAATACTTTTTTTGTACATCTCTTGCATGTCGCCTTGTTGCCCATTACATCGTACTTGTCCCATACAAGTGACCTCCTTCGTATTTTCGTCAACTCATCTTTATTTAGGTGATCAAGATTTAAGTGGCTTGTGAAAGAATAAACGCGGTAAGATGTTAAATTAATTAATTTCTTACAATATTGTCATTACATTCACATATTATCCATAGATATTATTTCATCAGTATAATGGCTATTATGTACATCAAAATTTTTAATAATTGTGAAGCGATATACATACCGGCAACGTGATAAGTGCTGTTGTAAATTTGTCGTAGGACTTTTACCATTTAATGCTAGCTTTTTCTTACATTCTTTGCAAGTTGCATAATCGCCTCTTTCATCAAACTTGTCCCATAGAAGTGATCTTTTTCCTTTGCTTAAATGTTTATATTTATCCGGGTGAATAATTTTTAAATGAGTCATTAAAATATGCACGCCATGAATTGCAAAATTAATTTTCTTCATACAATGCTTGCATGTTGCCGTTAAACACGTTATTTCGTAATTTTCCTTTATGTTGTAACGCCTTGGATATTCGTCTAATTCTGTTATTTCATGTTCATCGTATAAGTGATATTTTAATATTTGCAGTCTATCATGATTAGAAAAAACTTCTTTACAACGATTACACCTTATTGTGTCAGGATTTTCTTGTGTGTAATGTTTCCGCATCCACTTTTCAATTTCCGTCATTTTTGTCGTTCTACACCACACAGTGCTTCATATTAAACGTAACCGCTTGCTAAAATTATTAGAAGGAACATTTGAAAAATTGAGCATATACATAGACGGTCGAGAGAAAAGATGTAATTCCTTATTGAAATACAGGGTAGGGAGAAGATGTCCTAGTCAAGATATGTATATATTGTGGAAATATGAATAAATTGCCAACTCGACCACTGAGGCTGTGCTAATATTATTCGCAATAATTGGTATAAAACTTCATAGAACGCTCCCTCGCAGTAAATAAGTAAGTCAGTATACATGTATATATTTTTGTGTGGATATACTTATGTGTGAAAATGTTATAGTAAAAGTCATTTCCGAAAAGATCATAATGATTTCATTCAATAAGTTTTTTGTAAGGTTTTGACAACACATGTTTGATATCATGTTGACTCTATGACATGCAAAGAGAAGAGTATTACGCAAAATTGTATAGCAGTAGCTTTCTTTGTATTACGAATTATAAAATTATTGTTATAAAAAGAAATAAGTTTTACTGCACAAAATACGGCCGCTTTGAGTCATATTAATATTACAAAATAAATCTATTCTTACTAATATTATAAGAAACGATAAATTATTATTATGGAGTATTAATATAAACATAGCTCTTTCTAAATTGCAAAACAAATAAAATTTAATTAAAAAATAACTTATCTCTTAACATTACTGTGTACATATCAAGTGTGGAAATCTATAATATACCTTTAGCTGTCATCAAATGACACAAATTATAAAAGAATATATTCACATAAAGTCTCGCTTGATAAAAAGACACGTTATCAAGTAAAACATATAAAGTATATTATATTAAGTGGCATCGGATAAACAAATAACACTGATACACACTAGCGCAATATATCGGTCATCAATCTACCGGATAAGTTACTATAAAAGCATTGGTATAATGAGATAGAAACATATCACATTAACATAAAAATAACAATCCCTTTTTCTCCTTTAACTGAAATTTAATAAAAATTCGAAAAACTGGCATAACAGAAAGCAAAACTTTTAAATCTTTAAACTGAACAAGTTTTCAAAATAGTAATGTCGACACAGAACAGCAATAATTATCATGACACACAACAATTAAGTAAGATAATGTATCTTGAGTCAGATCCTAATTTGAGGCACCAAAAACTTTGATATCTTAACTTTTAGAATTACTCACTATCTTATGTATTGTTACTTCATAGGTACACTTGCGTATAAAACAGTTAAATTGTATTCTTGCTTCCTGAGATTAAGAAAGTATCAAAATCGAAAAAAAACAAAGCAGAATGTTCGATTTTAAAACATTCCGAAAATAAGTTGAAATAATGTTTTCGTCACTCTGTCTGCGTGCTTCCTTTCATCTGAGTGTTTCATTTAGGCGTTTATGGAAATTCTTAAAAGAACGAACTAAGAACCGATTTTTCCAACGTCACTACTTTAATCTCAGTTTAACTTATGTCTGTTTCTAAGGTCTGGTTTCACCAACGTTGTTTAACTTTAAGCTTAGCTTAATTCGTTCTTTGTCTCTTTCCAACTGTTACTTTAGAGAGAGACAAACGTGAATTAATTGTAAGATTAAAATTAAGCGACGTGTGGTGAAACCGGGCCTACGGAGATAGTTAGAAAAAGATGAGTTGAACTAAAATTAAAGTTAAGCAGCGTTGGGAAAATCGAACCTAAATGATGAAATTATGCCTAATTAATCAGTCATCAGTCCTACAGTTTACAGTTTCCAAAATTAGGATACGATCTTCTCTCGACACTCTATCTTACGTACAATACAATTACTAGTTACATTACAATTACTCTCTGAAGAATTTGCGCGACTAGATTTTCCGCTGATTATTTGCGTGGAACCAACACGACACTTTCTTCTCCGACTGTCAAATTGCCATCAGGAAATGCCTTTAAAACAGCACCTATGTACAAAATAGATATTAGTGTTGACCACCTGAACACAGGAAATATTATGGAGCTAAATTTGAACTCACAATTTACTGCTTCATGAAATTGCGTATTTTCGAATTTCAGCTTTAATAACCATTTGTAACCTCGCACAGAAAGACGATATGGAAGTCGTGGAACATCTGGAGTCTGGAAGGTCTAAAGCTGAAGGGGGGAGTGGTTGGAGCAAAAACGATCCCAGCGAACTCTGTTGGATATTTGTGGATTTTACATGTGAAATTTCAACAATCAATTATAATTATAAGATTTTTTATACAACAATTACCTGTTCATTCTATTATTCACATATACTTTATCAATATATTTAAAAATTACCAATTTTTAGAAAACTAACGAGAATACCTTAGCGAACTTATAATCTATAATTTTTTTTCTGTCATCTAAGTTGCTTTCATATCATTTTTTTTAGAGATAACTTTCAATTAATTATTATAAATAAAGTCGCATCGTGACGTTATTCAGAGCGCGAGATCCGCCATTTTCCTTGAAAATTGGAAGCAACGTCATATCATTATATTCTAATTATAATATATTGCACAACTAGATTCTAATTATATTATTTAATAACTCTTGTGCCCAGAGAACGTAGCAATATACTTCGCACAAAGATCAGCGCGGCAGCCATTCGACCTTCCATATTTGTCATTTCCGCGATTATTGCGGTAAATAATTTTTATCTTTATGCAAGATTACTCCGACTATACCGGATATATTATTACGGTTACATTGTGGTTAAACTTTGCATTTTTCTAATTTTGAATAAAATAATACCTTTCTTTTATTGTTAGATTTAAATTAAAATTTCATCTGATAAAAACAGACCAACTTGTTGAGGCCCTCCATCACCGCTGCCGAACTCTTATCGGCGGTCTTTTTTTCTTTGTAATAATTGACTTTTTGTGATACATACAATAATATAGTGCGTAACTCTTACAACGTGAAACATTAATAAAAAGTGTTACACGTGTAGCCCGTGTCTATTGTGTAACATTTTTTACTAATTGCGCCAACGAAAAATGAAATTGCAAAGGCAAATCTATTAATCAATTACAAACGAAAGCTTATCGATTAGAGAACTACGTAAATCCAATTGAACTAAAATTTTATTCGATAGAAATAGAGGCCCTCCACCACCCCCACCGACTTCGATCGGCGGTCCTCTTTTCTTTACAATTTGATTTTTTAGTTATGTGTATCTCATTTTTCTTATAATTACCTTTACAATGTATACAACATTGTAAAAGAAATAATTACATTATAAAATAAAAAATGTAATATAATATAATATTCATTTCAAAATTTTATATGAAATATTCGGTATGCGTACAATAACACGAAATTCTTGCAATATAAAATATGTGCTTATAGGCACGTATTAAATCGATAAATTTTCATTTGCAATCGATCGATAGATTTGCCTTTTTAATTTGATTTTTTATTAATGGTTTACATTAGACTTATGTATTATTGTACAATAGATATCACATGTTCATATGTAATTTTATGTCATAAAGAAATATTGTACATATTTTTATTTATATTGTGTTTTTAATTTTACTATGTGAACTACTCCCTCTTTTACATTTTTCGTATATATTGCACATTAAACTGTAAAAAATAATTAAATAATAAAAATGTAAAAACACAATTATTCTTCTAGTCTTTCTTCGCCGAGCCAGATTGGACTTACCTTTCGTCGCACCTGGCCATACAGTCTGGTCATTTTGACCAGAGATCAGTAAGGAAGAAAACTTGTTCCACAATCGGTTTATTATCGTCACAGACAGATATTTTGTACGGTTCGAACTATAATATATGCGATCGTCGATCATATCGAAATGCACGACCACAAAAAGTTAATTAAAGAAGAAAATAAATTAAAAATTTGTGCTGTATAAAATCAATCAAATATATTTTTACTTCCGTTATTTATTCGAGAATAGATAGTGACTGTCTCTTCGTGACTGCATCTTTAAATTCGAAATTTAAGTATACACGATATTCGACAAAAGACGATGCATACTATCACTTTATTCTGGATTTTAGAATTTTTCATTTAAGATTAAAATATTCCTTTCTCTATAATAAATATGATTGGCGCTATATCGATCCTATTGGATCCGGAAATTTTTCTGTGGGTGTATGCATGTATTCACGCGAGACGCGTCTTGAAAGTGTATCGCGAGATACACATATACATAGAATAAATGACGTGAGACCCAGAAAAAAGAAACTTTCCGTCAGATAGATAGACGAACAATTGAATATTCTAGTTAATTAATAATCTCAAATAATGTGTGAAAATAATATAAAGTTTCAGCGTTCTCGACAAAATATTAGAATCTCACGTCATATTATTTTACTTTATATGTAAATTTGTTAATGGAAAATGGACAGACTATTAGTTCGACGAATACATCAATGATATTCGTCATATTTTGCGTGAAAATATGTGATGTGCTGCAACGGGGCACCCAACCTTCCACGGTGAAAACAGCGATCACTCCCTCTCAATAGATATGCAAAAAAGAAAAGAATATACAAAAATGAAATTATGTTGTGCTCTATCCATTTTTAGGCAAAGGATCTACGAGATATACTAAACTACCATCTACAATCTACAATCTACGATCTACGAGATGTAGATTCGTTGCCTTAATAAAAAAGTTTCTAACTCACCACCCGAAGCGCAGCAGCGAAGTTTAGCTGCGTTGATTCTGTAACATACAAATGTAGAATTCATTAAAGCAGTGTTCAATGTAAAAACTAGCATTGCAAAATATAAGTAATTATGCGTATTAAACGTTTTATTCGGTTAAATGTTTAAACGATTAATGCGCGAAAGATTTTCCGCAAAAGATCTTCACGAGAATGAATTTTTATAAAATTTGTAATTATTTCTTGTTCTCTAATTATTATTTCGAAAGTATTGAATTATGAAATAAGACGACTCAAAAATAAACCGGGAAGAAGGGATTCATTTTACACACTGAAAAAAATTTCTGGTTGAATATGGACGAATCAGATAATTCCTTTAGGATTTACCAGAATTCCTTTAGGATTTACCAGAATTCCTGTAGAACACAAAGATCGTTCGCGCGATTTTACACTCCCGTTTACAAAGCCCATATGAAGGTATTCTGTTCCGTCAAGTTCGCCTCCACTTCGAGTCGACGAGTATTATACCCGAATTCCTACAGAAATTCTGGTAAATCCTAAAGGAATTCTGGTAAATCCTAAAGGAATTATCTGATTCGTCCATATTCAACCAGAAATTTTTTTCAGTGCACAAAATAAATAATAACATTTACAGTAAAGTTGCTCCGCCGGCGCCGGATGCCTCTCCTAGGCCTCCTCCTCCACTCCGGCACACTCGCGAAAACACAAAGATCGTTCGCGCGATTTTACACTCCCGTTTACAAAGCCCATATGAAGGTATTCTGTTCCGTCAAGTTCGCCTCCACTTCGAGTCGACGAGTATTATACCCGAAAAACTGTCGAATCTCGTAAGTGTGGCCATCGACAAGAACGGACATTTAATGAATACTTTATCAAGTGGGCTTTGAAAAGTCTTTAGTACAATTGTTTAAACGGCACTCCCGAACGCGACGAAAATAGAAACTTTGTCATACGCGCACTTTTGTTCGTGTAATTGTTAGAGAGATTATTCCTTGGCAAGCGATTGCTATATTATAATAATGTTTTGTTATCATTTTACCCGTGAATTCGTGTATTACCTTGCGCTTTGTCGCTCGTGGATGTATCGAAATTAATAATTTATATATGTAATTCTCTTATCGTTTTTTCTCTTCAAATTACGCGTGATATTCATCTCGACAAATTACCGTAGAAATTAACGGTATGATTACAGATCGCGACAATTACTTAAACGCGATTGATAATATGTTAATATCTCTCGTGCGAGACGATCGAGATTATCGTAGGAAATGATCACGTTACGAAGATCGCGACGCGAAGATCCGCCTCGCTCGACTGCATCGCGCCGAATGACAAACTGTTTTCGAGCGAGGTGTTCACGGCGCTACGTAATTTTTTGGAATCCACGCTCGATCTACGGCGCTATAATACCATATACGCATAATTACTGCATTGCAAGTTTTATCCAGATTTTATCACATAATTCTCCAGATATTTTCCACGGCTACACGTTTAGATATGTCACATACACGGATACTTGTGTACACGTGTCACATTCATGTGTTCACGGTTTCACGTAAATGAAGATTCTTTAAATTCGGATACACGGGTTAAAACACGGATAAGTTAAATACACGAATTACACGTGTAGTCTAGTACAGTGTTCTAGTCTGGATTAACCGTTAACTCAGTTGCGTTTATTGTACGATGTTGATGTTAAAATGTACCTATAATTTTCAAGTTTTTCGTTCACCAACGAAAATGTATAATCTTGAAATTGTTCTTTTAGTAACGGAATCGTACACGGAAAAAGAATAGTGTCGTATCAAGAAGATCAGGGTAATTGGAATAAAATCGTTGAAACAACATCAGTATTAATAAATGGAAAGCGTCAGATTGTTGTCTTAATAATCCGGATATTTAGTTCAATGGTTAAAATTAAGATCCATAGCAAATACAATTGAGTGAATTATTTATGTTTGTGGCAGCCCGTGACGGTAATGTTAATTCAACAAGCATGTTTTTTTTACCGTGTACAAATGCCGATCAGAATGCAGCACTTTGCGTCGAATTTCATCGCGATACGTTTAATTGAAGAATTAAATGTCAATTAATCTTATCAGCGCTTAATTATATTGTAATATTTACTCATCGGTGGTTTAAATTAATACATTGACGATTTCTGTTATTAAACTTCGTACCATCGCTTTTACAGGAATCCCGAGTACAAATAGTAACTTCGTGCAATCGTACTTTTTTCGCGTTTCCTTTCCTGTCGCGTGTGATTAATACTGAGGTGTTGTACAAAGTGCCACGAAGTCTCGATCGTTCCACGAGATTTGGTCAATTGTGCCACGAAATGCAAATACACATTTGATATGAGATTGATTACGAGAAATTAACCCTGAACGATTCCTTTTTACATTTGGTAGAAAATTCGGTGATACCAAAGGAGATTATTATATCTTCTTGATCGTGGGACGTTTAATCT